TATATTAGTTTAAAATTATAAACTATAATATCGTCTGTAGTGTTATGGGTCAACATCACACCCCAGTGCAAGTAGTAGGAGAGAAGAACTGGAGAGCTCTTTTTGTGACAGACTGCTGTATTCTGTGTGCACAAAGGAGCTGTATCACAGGTCCTTCCTCACAGCGGCTGCGAGGTTGCAGTCCAGAAACCATATCGAGGACTTGATGTTTTCCTTGTTTTTTCTCAGGGATGCCACTCGCAGGTTTGCTTCTCTAAATCTTCCTGTCGTCTTCAATTCGATGCATAGCTGGTTTTTGCATCACATCCCATTATGTCGTATTTGCCTGAATTGTTGGGCATGTATTGCCAGAAGGCGCATTTTCTATGGAAAGGGGCAAAACATTCATACTGTTACGTCTGGGCCTAGGTTGAATTTCAGTGAAATGAGCCTCGCCCATCCAAGAGATATCACCACTTTTGGATTTGTTTGTTTCAGCAGGAGCAGCTTCAGCAACTGTGACCGCCTCACCAGATTCATCAGTTGTATCCGTGTCCTCTGGTTGATAATTATATCCTCCTTCTTCTCATAAAGAGCTTGACTTATTGTAGAATTCTTTCTGCATGATGCAAACTTGAAGTCACCAAAATGAGTCGGTCTTACATGTAGATCTCAGTTTGGATGACCTTTTCAGTGAAGCAGTAAGAATAAAAGGGGTTGTTTATTTAGGGAAAGAGACAAAGAGTTAAAGAGAGTAGCTTCTAACTGAGTTAGTGAGTTCACAGTGTGTTTATGACTTTAGCTTTAGCACTACTGTTTTATAATGTTGTATTATAACTGAGTCTAAACCAACCCCAACAATAAAAAAGTCATAATTTTCACCAGCGCATTTCATTTTATAATTTAGTTTTATTGTTTTACTTTGTTTAAATAGAAATTCTGACAAAGTCAAAAAGCCTTGATACAATAAACAAATTTAAAAGGTACTTTTATGCATTTTATAACCTAAAAATGGGCTGGTCCTGACTATAACACAGGAGGATTTGTATTTAAATAGGCACACATTATATCCCAAATATTTATTTTTTATGTACATATTATGTGTCTCTTTATGGATAACCAAGTGACATTTAAATTGTTTATATATAGTTATATGGAAGCATGGTTATTATCATATTTACATAATATGTTCATCTCTCTAATAAGGTTTTTTTTATGCAGAATACGGAAAATACTTTGGATTAAATCTGTTCGGATCCTTTTTTAAATGTGTATTTAACACGCAACTGATGTTTTGCTTTATTTTATTTGTGAAAGCAAAACTTGATGTACCATTAACGCTGCCGTAAAGCTGTGTATGGGACATGATATGAACACTAGAAAAATATGATGTTGTCATCTAATCAGAGCTGAAACATAGTCGTTTCTCCATAACTTCTCAAAACACAAGTTCATAGTTCTGAACGTGCATTTTCCAAAACAACTTGTGATTCAAACAACTACAGGTAACCAAAAGCTACCCAAAGAGCTGTAACTCATATGTCACAGAGGCTATTTAAAATAGTAATGTTAAGGATTTATACCTCCAACTTAACTGGACATGTACCATCAGTTGTTCAGAACCTCGTGAAGTATGTTTTACTCCCCACAGCATCAGTACCATTGAATCCTAATATTTTTGTTTTTTTATACACACACCGAATGTCCTTTTATGAATGATGTATCAGTAGTGGTTTACTTGTTGCTGTTTTTTTATTATTATTTTATAATGCTGAGTAAGTGGAGCCTGCAGCTGAACTGTCAGTCCCTTCCCCAGTAGTGCTCCCCTGAATCTGCCCCCTCAAATCCATTATCTCCTAGTTTAACAGAACTTCAGGGCTGCTACCACAAGCGTCAGCATGAAATAAACTGAAATGCATTCAATTAATATGAGAGATCCCACCTGGAGGATGAACTCCTGATGTCTTGCTCTCTACCATCGACACTCCTTCACATTGCCATTTACCCCCAAGACCTGCAGATGTCACTGTCGAGATGTTTTGATTAGAATGTACACTTCCCCAAAAAATAAGTGAAATTTTATTTTAATAAAACAAAACAAAATCTCTGGGGAATGTTTCCAGCACCTCGTTCAATCTATGCCATGACTTTGTTAAGGCAAAAGGGGGTACAACCTAGTAACTAATAGGTCACTATTGTACCTAATGATGTGAATGAATGTATGCATATAGAATTTTTACCCATAGTTAAAGTTTATCTGGTTGACATGTGCTTAACCATTGTAATTAATGATACCCGAGGCCTTTAAATGGTATTCAATTTCATACTTGCTCATACTCCATGTGTGAGCCACCACTGGACAAAAGAGTGATGAGTTTCCTACACTGCCTTTTGTACTGTATGTCATGTATGTGTATTAAGTATTAGTTTATCAACACCAAAGCTGACTTAGATGTCACGTGACAAAGGTGAGAGCATCACCTTTTAAATTTAAAGTCATTTTATGAAAGTTTGACCTTACTTGACCTTGAAAAAGAGGTCAGAGGTCAAATGTGATATATTTTACTTTTTATAAGTTGCCAATACCAACTTTGTATTTTGACCAATACATGCATTGCTCCACAAGGTGGAGCTCTAATAATATAAAAAGGAGACAACATGACGAGAACTGTATTTATTTAATCTTGTGCCTTTATATAAAGTAGCCCATGAAGAAAAATTCAAAGCCATGAGGTCACTCATTTACTTCCATTTATTATAGATTCATATATATATTTATATATACGTGTGTTATAAACATCACAAAATAGAAACTTGAGGAAGGTCTTGCACAAAGATATAATCAAGTAAAAGGGCAACCTTAGATTAGTCAACAATGGCATTGGAAGCAGGCTTATCATCTGGGGTCAGTGCTGCAGCGCTGTTAGGAACATTCTTATCTCGTAATTTGTGTAAGTGCAAATAGTCTTTGCAGCTCTTGGCTCAAAGGAATTATTAAGTGTTTATAATAAAATAGGATTTTACAATATAGATGTTAAGGTTGCTCTTTTATTGCATATGATTTAATTAGGAACATACTGTGGTATTAGTTACAATACGGTCTCAAGTTCATGATGTTCAAATGATCTAATATTCAATATATATACCTCTTACATTTCTATGCATCAAATGGTATCTTGTTAACATAATAAATTTAATCATAAGCAATATCAATATTAAAATACCTTAAATATAAATAACATGCTTTGAGCAAAATAATTATTCATTTACACTGGTAGTTTAAACAACCTAATTCTATAGCTCTAAACCCTTTAGAAATAGCTAACCCTATACATTGCTTTGTGTCAAATGCATTTTTTTTTGTTTTCGACTGAAGGCCACTTTCAAACAAAGCAATTTATACAAGAATGACATCAAGTCTTTTCACAAGATGAAATAAGTTCCAACTAAATCGTGAATGAAGTGGGAAAACAACCGGCGGTCTGATTGTACTCCTTTATCTATGAAACAATGACTAATATAATTTAAAAAAAAAAAAAAAACCCACACATCTACAGCATATCAAGGAAATAATACTTAAATACTAATAAACAACAGTTGTAATCTTACAACCACTGTAACAAGATATAAATATATGATTTAGCATTTGTTGGAGAAATTAATAGTGGATGACTGTTACAATATGAAACCTGGCTTTGCACACTATTATGTGTAGGCAATGAAATGTGCACTTAATAAATACTGTGTGCTTCATAAATTGTCTGCAGAGACTGCACAATCATACATGTTCACATCTTAAACACCTGGATAACTGGAGAGCTTGCCTAGTCTACATGCAGGCTATTAACTGTTTAACTGTTCTGTGGGCAACGGGATCAAAACAAGCCAAAAACAACATGTCACAAGTGTGTGTGTTTATGCGTGTGAGTTTTGTGTATCTGTGGCAACAGACAGAAGTGAGAGATAGATAGATGATAGAGAGAGAGAGAGAGAGAGAGAGAGAGAGAGAGAGAGAGAGAGAGAGCGGCTGGTCACATACTGTATATACATCTATTTCCAAATCAATATTTAGTTTGCTAAATCACACAATTTATTTCCAGTATATACATTTAGCTGACATCATTATCGTTACTAATTAGTGCTATGCTATATGATATCATCCAAGAGATGGGGGGTGCCCACCCAGTCTAATGTTCTTGGCTCGGATGCTGCCATGATCATGCACATAAACTGTTTCCCTGTTCTCTTATCTATTGGGTATATAGTAGTAGGAGTAAACCTTTTGTTGCTTTCCACAAACTCACACAGCTGATTATAGATTTTGGGGTACTCATGGCGAAGGAAAACTCCTCTGGTCCTGAGCTCGCGCTGGATATTGACAAAGCAGACCTCTCGAGCTTTTCTTCCCTCCTCCCCCTCCTTGTCAATGTCTGGTGTGCCCGGAGGGGGAGTGAGGATGAGCGTTTCCATTTCGCTATCCTTCTTGAGTACCTTTTTGTCAGGGCTTGAGGAGGCTAAGGACACCTTTGCATATTTTCGAACTGTTGGTGTTTGGACCCTTGGCGAAGGTCTGTTAGGCACTAGTTCACCAACAGCGATGGATACATTCAAAAGGAAACATTCATTGGGGTCATACTCATGACCTGCTTGCTGCAGTTCCTTGCAGTACTCTCCTAGGTTGTCCTTGAAGCCATCCAGCTCTCTGAGAGATAAGTATGTGGGAGACATGAGGAGGCTCTCAAGCCCAACTTGCAGGAAGTTGTCAGCTGTCTCTGGATTAGCAAAACCCAGAAAGAGGACGCCTCTGCCTCTGGAGAGATAGCCAGCTTTAGCAACTCGTGAGAAGGCTTTGTGGATCTCTGTATTCTCTCTGCAGAACTTAAGAGTGTGTCGACACACACTGCTGACACGACCATACAGGCACGTCTCTTTGTGGATCTCCCAGTCGTCCCGGCGACAATTTCGTGAGCAGTAGAAGGTGTAGCAACTGTGACAAGACTTGAAATACAGGCAGGCGTTGAACATATTCTCAATCCGGCTGCATTTCTTATTAGCACACACCATAGTGTCATCTTCATCAGTGCTGTGGTCTGGAGAGCACTCTTCTGCACTTCTTTGTAAAGCATCACACCCACTATCGGGGTCTTTGATGGTGTCGGGGCTGGATTTGGAGGAGGGGAGCTGTGTGTTCAGACATCCTAAGTTCTCGTGCCCGGACAAACCCCTGTCTTTCTCATCATCTTCAGTGATTAGCTGTTTTAGCTGGTCTAAAAGGTCTTCACTGGACTTTCTGCTAGTTGGTGGCTTGTAGTCAACGACCAAATCAGCTAAGAGTTCATCCAGCTGCTCTAGGCTCTGCTGCAGGGAGAAGTTGTTATGTTTCCTATCTTTGGTAATGTCTGTTGCATTAGATGGCTGCTTCGGATGAGCTTCTCTGGGAGATGGTGCTTTTTCATCATCCAGTGTATCCCAGCTAACAGAGTGGACATCACGTCGCCGGCTGTTGCCTGCACATAGGTCATTGTCAGTTATGGTGATCTCTGGAGTTACAAACCAATGTCCACTCTTGCTATTCTTCCACGGATTGCTTGAACCCCTCTCTAGAGAGTTTTCAGACAGTGACAGGGCAGCGTAGCGTCTCGGTGAACTTGATAGGTTAAGAATGACAGGTTGAGATGTAACATCAGAGGATGTGCCGTTCCTTGCTTGGTAAAACAAATTTTCATAACTTCGTCCACGTGGCACTGACTGGTCTCTGTCATGACGTGGATAGAGAATATTGTCCCAAGACTTTGAATGGTTTTTGATTTCTGCTCCAAGGCGACTTGTCTCTGTACAGCTATTGGGAAACCACGGGGGTATGCTGGAGTCTTGTCTTACTCTTGGTGGCGTGTGCTGAGAGGACTGATTAGAGTAACCAGATATGCTTGAGCGATACCAGTCATCTGAAAAGGCCTGAGACATTCGAGGGCGTCGACGACCCTCTGTATGGTATGGCCTTGATGGAAAGTACTGCTCCATAGGAGAGCTAAATGGTTTGGAGTAAACAAACCTTGAGTTATTCATATGATACGGATTGAAGCGGTTGTCCTCACCATAGTAAGATCTAGACAGTGGAGTTTGAGAAAAGTATGAACTTGCCTCACTTGTGGAGTAAGGCCTGCCATATACAGAATGTGCAGGCTCTCTGGGAAAGTTGTCTGCGTAATACGACCTGACAGGAAGGGTGTGAACCCATCGAGTCCTTGGATCGTACTGACTGGTCACTGTACTACCATGACTGGTTAGACTGGACCGATCATCCTGAAAGTAAGCTCTAGAGTAGGGATGCACTGGATAACGGACTGCATCCTCGGTATAGAAAAACTTGGTTGGTATGTTAGGATTTGAGTAAGCTCTTTGTTCTTGAGTCAGATATGGTGCTGTTGGTGATGGCATTCTGTGCATGTCTAGATGCTGGTAAGAGATAGGAGACATACTGGTAGTGTAGTGGTACCCCTGTCTAAAATCTCCACTATAGCACTCACTTGGAGTGGGCGTTGGTGAGGAGACCATCTGTCGAGGCACATACAAACCTCTGCTGCTACTGGCCTGAGAGTATCTCTGCCAAAGGTGGTCAGGACGCACACTGGGAACCTGCCTTGATGTGTGCTGCAGTACAGCAGCATCTGGCTTGATGTCCACACGGCACCTAACATGAGGGGTTACAGCAGGTTTATCTGACTTGTCCTCCTCAAAACAGTCTGATACATAGAGGGGGGCATGAGGCTGCAGTTTGATAGGATGCACCTCATTCAAAAAAGGCCTGTTTGATGAGTAGGAATCTCGCACTGTTTCAGAAGTCCTCAAGGTATCTGATGTAGCCTGAGGTGCATCCCTCCCCTTCCTGGTCCCTGGGGGAGACACTGAAATGGGTACAGGAGTGAGAGTAGCCTTAATCCTGGGAGCGCTTTTAGACCTGGATCTCTTTTTTGAATCTGACCACGTAAGATTGCTGGTTTTGTCTTGGGTGCTGTGCTGCTGAAACTGCCTTGTGTTAAACAGATCTGGAGATGAAAAGCGAAGATGTCCCGGTTGATCCAATCCATTCCATGCAAGATCTTTATTTAATGTCTGATGCTCGGGCCTTTTGTAAGGATACTCCATCGAGGAAGAGAGGGTCTGTGGGTCATCCAGTGACTCAATGAAGTCAAAACTACGGCAGTGTCTTTTGTTGATGATTTCTGATTTATCAATCATTTTCAAGTCACATTGCTGGTTGGAGTGTAGAGAAATGGAGGGGTCAGTGATGGGATTTAGATTTATGTCCTGATACAGAGTTGATGCCAGTATATCAGGGGGATGTGTCCGAGTCATCTTAAAGAAACTTCAATGATCTCCATTCAGTGTGATTCAAGATCAACACAGCCTGGGGAAAGAAAAGAGATGGAGCATAATCAGCGTTATTGTTTTCTCTGCCATAGGAAGGCTTACGCACCCATGTTGGCGGTTGCTGGTCTCAACCCATCCAAAAGTGTGCTTTGCCAAACCAATCAAAAGTTTATTATGAAAAGAAAAAACAAACTTTTTTAGCCAATGACAAAATACAACTGTTTCTAACTTCTGATTGGATGGACAGCCTACAGCCCACCTCAAAAGTTGCCCACTACCCGCTTCCTTTTCTCATCTGATCTCATATAATGGGAAATAAATGAAAATGTAAAAACTAAAGAAGAGATGTTGTGACTTTTGATATTGCATAATTTGCTTCCAAGAGGACACTCTGCAACTTACCTGATGGCAACATGTTTGGAACACCACAAAAACAACAATCAGCTGATCCAAGCAGAGTCGGGCAGAGTGTAAACAACTAATCCATGCCTTGCTGTGACATTAAAACGAGGTCATTTTTAAACTGCAATGTCATATTATCTTAGTAAGACCTTATAAATAACTACACATAAAAATGCTAGTGAAATCTGTTGATGTTTTGTGGGTCTGAAAGGACAAAAAATATTTCCTTTCAGATTTTTAAATCCTCAAATATCAGAATTGGTCTTAAAAATCCCTCAGTCAGGCTCTATTTAGAAAAACAAAGGTTGACTTCGGTTAGCATTGCTGCTATACCAAATGTGCTGACAGTGTCAACGCCAAGAATGATAAGAATTTTTCTAAAGAGTGGTGAACAGACAACTCATGAATTGAGACTTTTTAAGAGTCTTCAACATATTACAGTACTGTTCTAGAAACAGTGTATAGTATATTGTATTGGTGCCACAAAGTTAGGAAGAATCAGTCCACAAAATCTGGATCCATTCTTCCAAACTTTGTCACAAGAGGAGATTATTTAGGTTATTTAATGCTTTAATTGTGGAGTTGTATTTTTTTAATTGTTATTATTTCTTTTATGGTGACATTAAAATGTTATGTACTCTACGTGCTTGACTAAAGAATGAGCCTATATGACTAAGTAAATAAAGGCTCCCACCTATGCAAAAATAATGAATAATCATAATTCTAGGTAGGGATGGGTACCAGTATCCGGTGCCATGATGGCACCGGTTCTGACATAAACGGTAGTAACCAGACCGAAAAGCAGCGCACATTTCGGTGCTTTATTTCGGTGCTTTTTTTTCCCTGAGATGTGACACACTTTGAATTCTAGCCAATCATTTTACGTTTCCGAGGACAGTAGGTGGGTCCAGGAACGTACGTTCTTTTAGAGCAGAGCTACAGATTAAAAATGCCCATGGCGAAGCGGTCAAAAGTCTGGCTGTACTTCACAGCAAAAGATGCAAACTCAGCAGCCTGCAACAAGTGCTTTAAGGTGATACTGTGATACTGTCAAAGGAGGTAACACCTCAAATCCGATGAAACACCTGGCTACGCATAGGGTTTTTTTAAAAGCCGAAAAATGCGCCGTATTTGATAGCTTGCTGCGAGACCTCACACCAAGCGCATCTACTGCGGGTGTGGTGCCTGTTATCAGACCTGGAGTTAGCAACATCCCCCAAAAACCCGAAGAGGAGAGTCCTGGCCCCTAGCCCTGCCAGTGTAGCAGAAATGATGACGGGTGATGATGGCAGCAGCAGCCGTTCTTCTCTGCGTGAGTAGCTTAATGTTGTTCGTGTATAATTTACATTGAGTAGGCTAACCACGTTATTAAATTAATGCATGTAAGGTGAAATAGCAAACATCATCATAGCTACATGCAGCTGTCTTCTTGTTTGATGGCAGATACTCCCTTCACCCTGGCCAATAAGGCTAAAATGACCAAAGAAAAAGTGGAAAACAGCTCAACATGAGAGGTTTTTGGAGAAAGTTTGTGTTTTTTCCATTGTTTAAGCACTGCTTCCAGCCAAGAGTGATACCATATATGCCCTATAGCTGCAGAAAAGGCTAACATTGTTATCTTTTTACAAAAAAAACAGCTTAACATGAGAGGTTTTTGGACCAATTTTGTGTTCTCCATTCTTTAAGCACCGGTTTGAGCACCGTTTAAGCACCGGCACCGTTTCAAAAGTACCGGTTTGGCACCGGTATTGGATAAAACCTAAACGATACCCATCCCTAATTCTAGGGCATACCATCAAACTGCCAGCTTGATATAGTAGGTCTTCAACTAGCTGAGAAGTTGGGAAGTAATGCACTAGCTTCTAACAACGGAAAGTTTGTTTATTCTCAACTTGCACATTTTCACTCTCTTTCTGTGTAAACCATGTTGGAAAAGTAAAGGTCAACATGCTGAGCTTCAGGAGTGAGGAGCAACCCCATAGCTAACAGCAGTGTAGTTTACAAAGCTCTTATTTAATACTGTTAATGTAGTTATCAAATGCCAATATCTCACTGAGGGCTAATGAAGGTGAACTGCCTTACACTCCCACTTGTGGCCTACTGCACGTGATGCCTTCTTGCCCCACAGTGGCTCCACTTTACCATTAAAGGCTTGCAGCATGCTGCCTTCTGCTGCAGCTAATTAAGAAGGCAGTTTTGAGGGACAAGCCCTATTTTTTAAGACTGAACAAGTGTCTCTGAGAGCAGAATTATCCCTCAGAATATGCACTATGCAAATACATTTCACCAGTCCCAGGGGCAATATATAAAAGCAGAGCAGGCTCTGACCACCTGCAACAATGATATTGTTAGTCTTAGAACCAAAGTGGGAAATTTGATTAAAGAAAAAATATAAACGAGGAGTCCAGAGCATGAATAATTAGCATCACGCGATTTTTAGGTTCCCAGACTACGATCCAGCTTCCACATCCACTGATGACCACGGATAAATTTACTAAAATATAACCATCTATGTCGTTCCTCTTACACACTAAAGCATAGTCAATGCAACAAACAGTTTAGAGAGCACTACAAAGATGTCACTTTTCTACCTACTCAGATCTGCCTCAGACTTTAATTTGCCTTCATCCCACTCATTTTGTTATTTCCAAAATAGACATTGTGCATTCTCACTTTCCCCTTGTTATCCTGCCCACTAACTGGAAATGGGCTGACCTTCCTAAAATTCTGCGTTACTCATATCAAGGGTAGATATGAACTCGTGACTCTTGATGTTAATAATGCTGCCAAAATTAGAACTGCTGAGGAGCACGAGTTCAGGGTAGATTTTACAGATGATGTGAGAAATGACACTGGGCACAGAATAAACCCAAGTACACCTCACAAAGGGTTTCAACTATATATATATATATATATATATATATATATATATATATATATATATATATATATATATATATATATATATATATGTTTATAATGCATATAGTTTGCTTTTCAAAACCTTGATTTATCCAAATATCACAGATCAATGTGAAAGATGAGATTATTCTTTTTTGTAATTTTAATTATACATATATATATATATAAACTTCACAAACTCTGTAATCATAGTTTGGTTGTTGCATATAAGAATGAACCCTTTAATAGTTACATTTCAGGTCTCTAATATTAGCTATATAAACCTTTACTTGGTGTAGTATTTTATATTTTATATAGAAATCTTGTTGTAACTTACAGATGTTATATCTTTTCTAAAAATGGAAAAGCCACAATTTCAACTTTGGTAATATTTTTCCATAAATGGAATTCTTTCATAAACTATTTCAGCTTCTTTGATATCTTTCAGTTGCATCTTACTCAAATTCCTTCATTTTATGAATGTAAAGAATCATTTTTTGAGTGAACCATAACCCCTAATCATCCTCCTCCCCATCACTATAAAAAGCCAAAATTCAGAATTGTTATTATTTGTCTCAACCTCATTGAGCTTGTATTTTTAGAAAAACGAGGAAAAAACATCAAGTTTATGAATAGTGCAATCAGCTGAATATCTCAAGTTTTAAAGTAAAAGAACTTCAGATACCGATGTGTAACTGTGGTAACTGCATATGTGTAGACGTTAGCTCTGAAGGCTTGGGAGTAGTGATGCTGAATGCCATAACATTTAAAATCTGCCAGTAGCTCCAATCTCGCCAAGAAAACAGCAAACTGGTCCAAGAAACAAAAAAAATCCAAATTGCTGTAAATATGTGAATTTCTGTCAGAGCCTGCAATCTCTGGGCCTCCATGAAATAATTAGGAATTAGTTCAGTTTAAAAACAGACCACTCAACTCAGTCAACGGTCCACAGGAGAGGTTTACAAGTCACTTTTATATGTAAACTGATTTTTTACATGACTATACATTTAAAAGGGTAACCTAAGGAGCTTGGAAAGAAAGGTAACTGGACTCCTTTAAGTTTCTCGAAAACGTTTGACCTCTCATCCGAGAAGCTTATTCAGTTCTAAGACTGAATGGTGGAGAGTCCCGGGTATTTAAGCCCTCGTGGGAGTCGTGGCAGACAGCAACTGTCTGGCACATACAATCCAGTTTTGAGATCCCTTCCCGCCTTAATGCCCATTTGATCTTAGAACTGAAGAAGCTTCTTGGAGGAGAGGTGAAACATCTTTAAGAAACTTAAAGAAGTCCAGTCCAAGGTCCTTAGATCAGTGTTTCCCAACCTTTTGGAGCCACGGCACATTTTTCACATTAGAGAAATCACGCGGCACTACACCAAACAACAAGGTCACAAAAAGCAGATTGATCATTTTTCTCTGCGCACCAGGTATAGAGGAATTGGCTTGGTTTGTCCCCACCACTACTCATGCTAGGGCTTTCATCTGGGTTGGAATTTTCTCCAGGACACAGGTCAGATAGACTACTTTTTCTTTCCAAATATTTATCTATTAATATTACGCGCTGTGTCATCTCACAGCATGACTATTATTAGAGAAGGTAGCTGTACTACCCTCTATTGGAAGAGAATGTAATTGTTCTGCACGTTACGCCGATCGCTTAGAGTACTAATCAGATGGAACCAGGTAATGTTCCACCATATTCCACCTAGAGCTGGGCGATAGAACGATAACGATA